TTTTTTTTTTTTTTTTTTTTGCGAGGGGGTAGGGGAGGGCCCCCCGACTCGAAACCCACCCCCCGCTCCCAAAACCCCCTCCCCGATCGGCCACGGCCGCGGCCGAAAGTTCTCGGCCGGAGCGGCCGCGGGGGTCCCATCCACGGCCGGCGGCCGCGGCTACGACCGAACTCGGCCGCGGCCAGGGGGGAACATAGTTCTCCTCCCCTTCCTCGTCGCCCTCGTCATTCACGACCTCCTCCTCTCCCACCCAGGTAATGTACTAGTGAATCTATCGAGCTTTTTTTTTTTTTTCAACCTTTTCTCGATTTGTGCGTGTCATCCTTGCGCAGAGGTCGTGCTAATCTTCTCTGTATCGTTCCCGAAGATTGAGAACGACACCGAGAAGATTAGCACAACCTCTGCGCAAGGATGACACGCACAAATCGAGAAAAGGTTGAAAAAAAAAAAAAGCTTACGAAACGGAGGGATGATTGGGATCGATACAGAGAAGATTAGCACGACCTCTGCGCAAGGATGACACGGGCTCGTCCTCCTCCACCTCCCCTTCATCTGCATGCTTCTCCTCCTCCTTCCGCTCGTCCTCCTCCTCCCCTTCCTCGTCGTCCACCTCCTCSTCCTCCTCTCCCACCTAGGTATCGAAATTTCGAAAACAATCCAATCTATCGAGCTTTTTTTCTTTTTTTGGGACCTTTTCTCGAATCGTGTGTCATCCTTGCGTCAGGGTCATGCTAATCATCTCTGTGTCGTTCCCACTGCGCTGCGGGCCAGGGAGACGGGGGCATGGGTGGATGGCAGGGAAGAAGGTGGAAGCAGGAGGCAGCATCGGCGAGCATGTCCTGGCGACGGGGACGGTGGCGGGAAGCGTACCGCGGAGGTAGACATTGCGCCTGCTCCGAAACGGGGGAGAGGACGACCGAGCAACAAGGAGAAGGCAGAAAGAAAAGCAGCAGAGAAAGCTGCGAAGAAGGCGTCCGCGTCTGCAAAGAAAAAGAGTTCTGCTGCAAAGAAAAAAGCAGCAGCAGCGAAGAAAAAGAAGGGGAAAGTCATTGACGATGACAACACCCCTCCGTGTTCGGCTTCATCGTCGTCATCCTCTGATGATGATGACGGTGATGATGATGCCGATGGTGATGATGATCGTGATGGTGATGATGATCGTGATGGTGATGATGATGGTGATGGTGATGATGATGGTGATGGTGATGATGACGGGGAACAGGACGGAGGTTCTGAATCTTCTGATGATGAGGACGAGGTAACACCTCTCGGACCCCTCAGACCCCCCTTAAAAGTTGCGCAGGTAACACCTCTCGGACCCCCCTTTAAAAAAAATAAAAATAAAAAAAATAAAAAAATAAATTGCACGGCCACCCCCCGCACGGATCCGGTCTGTGCGGGTGCGGAATGTGCGGAGATCGAGCACCCCCCGTATGGATCTCCGCATGGATCCGGTCTGTGCAGGTGCGGCTCGTGCGGTTGCAAGTATGATCCAAATGCATGTAGAGTGATTTGTAGTGGAGCAAGGCCATAGATACATTACGTCCTTCAGGAAGCCTCATCATGACTGTACCAGACCTAAAGCCTACAGACTACATGCATTTGGATTTTTGGACGCTTTCTGAACACTATGCAGTCCGGATGTTGGACTCATCCAAATGCATATGGTCTAGAAAGCATCCAAATGCATGTAGAGTGATTTGTAGTGGAGCGAGGCCACAGATACGTTACGTCCTTCAGGATATCCATTGAAATTGGACCGGTGTTGGGCGCGTCCAAAGGTGCACAATGAGAATGAATCTTCTAGTAGAACATGGAAAGATACATAGTCAAACTTTGTCTTTTGTGCGTGTGGTCAGTAGTGGAGTGAGGCCCTAGGCCTTTTCTGCGATTAGTACGGCCTCTGTGCAAGCATGACACCCATTAAACAAAACCAAAACCAACAAACGAAGTGCACGACTCGCCTCTGTGACATCTGATATCCCTGTCAAGAATGTATAGAACCTGAGAACTCGCTAGGACACATTCGAGGTCAACGCTGCCCTATATCGAAGTTCATGAAATCAAGGAATCAGGACTTTCAATCCAGGGCGCGTTGTCTCCTCGAATGCATCAGAGGAAATTTTTGGGTCTGATGAAGTAATGATAAGAGTGCCTGGAGGAAATTGAAAGAAGAGCTCCACCGCATCATAACTGTATCCACCTCAGATGTTGACTTTGATACATTGGAAGTCACAACGCACCCACCTCGAAGTTTGTGAACCTCCACGAGGGTGTGTTGTGCCCTCAATCATACAGCAATCATGACAGCACACACACACACAAAAAAACAATACCCACACCAGTAACCTACCGCCCTGGACAGTGCGCTGCACCTATGCGGTGTGCCATGCGCATACGCATCTCAGATCCACACACCACTCGATACGCACCGCACCGCACTGGTGCGACGCAAGTATATCCATAACACTCTTTAAGCGAATAGCGGGTCTCGCGTAGCGCTCCCGCGAGATCCCGCTTTCCCCTGTTGGGGAACGAGGCGGAACAGGTAGGCGGGCCCGACAGACACGGCATGAATTATTTGGGGTGATCCGGACCGGCGACGGGTTGTACAGCGACGGGTTCTACGGTCCGATAGACGTTTCGGGGAGACGTTTCGGGGATTTACCGCGGACGAGTCCCGAAGCTTCTATCGGGCCGGTCGACAATCTTAACGGTTGTCGCCAGCGCGGCCTTTGCAATTGTTTGTTGCTTCATGCCGTGAGTGTTTTGATGCGACAGTTTCGAACGCTGCTTGGTTCGACGGGACACACACACACACACACACACACACACACACACA